AAAGCCAATTTCTGTATAAAGCTTATATTTCTATATACAGTAAACCTTACAATTTTGACAAATATCTGACATGTTCACTGTTATAACACACATTAATCGTAAATAAATAACAATAACAGGAGTTGAGTGGTGTTTGTTTGGTTCATCTGTTTGTTACATTAAAACTTCAAAAGTTATTAAACTATAACTAACTCCTACAACTTTAGTCCTTAATTAATTATATGTTTTGACACTGTGCCTGTATTTTTTCTTTCATCTATTTGTGTTGTGTTAGAGTTTGTTCCACCAGAAATATTAAAACAAATATTGAAAACAGTGCCAACCAGCAGAACTTCAGCTGAATATATCAAAAATGAGGAATTGTTCAGATGATCAGTATTTTCACAAAGTTAAATGAAATGCTGAGAAAACTCACATCATGTGCCGTCAAGAAGACAAACACACGTGCAAACGGTCCTTGATACACTAACAAGAGTCAAAACATCTCCATACTATTCTAATTCATGTGCATGTATGAGCTGTGCTGTTTTCCAAATAATTGATTCATGTTTATTTTATAATAATAGATTTATAGGGTCATGAATATAAGAGCAGTTTATTTGTTTTATCTCTTCCACACAGAGTCCGTGTTTACAACTGATGGGAGCTCATGAAGACCTCAAGTTTTGACCAAATTTAAAGCAGTAACACAGTTGAAAAAAAGCCAATTTCTGCATAAACCTTGAATTTCTATTTGATTTCTATATAAACCTTAAAATCCTGACTACAACAAATGTGTAATAGACATGCTACTACAACTGTTACTACACTGTTAAAACACATTAACCTTTTATTTACATTTTGTCACAGTGAATGGGGTAAGTTGTCACATTAAAACTTAAACTATAATAATGTATTGCGGTGTGTTTTGTGTGTGTGTGTGTGTGTGTGTGTGTGTGTGTGTGTGTTCTTGTGTTTACCCAAAAGCTATATATACAGTATATATGTATTATTATTATTTTATTTTATTTTGTAATGTTACTGTGACTTTTCCACTGGGACAACTGGCCCCGGTCTATTTTGTAGTTGTGCTTATATTTGTATCACAAGTTCCTTAAGTCATAGCTTATGATAGAGTGACACAATCCATATAAACATGCAGAATTAGCACATTTGAACAAAGTTTCAGAGAAGCAATATATAAGGTATTTTTTTATATATAATGAATATACATTTCTCTAGTTCTCTACAATGTCTAAAATATTTAATTGGGTAGAACGTGCTCTATTTGTATCACCTTATATAAGTTCCTTAAGTCATAGCTTATGATAGAGTGACACAATCCATATAAACATGCAGAATTAGCACATTTGAACAAAGTTTCAGAGAAGCAATATATAAGGTATTTTTATATATAATGAATATACATTTCTCTAGTTTACACAATGTCTAAAATATTTAATTGGGTAGAAAGTGCTCTTTGTGAGTAAACATATTTGTACAAATCCTTATCCAGGAATCATGAACTACTGCAAAATTCATCTTAATTCATTGGTCAAAATGTGTGGAGAACCCTGAAGAATAGTCTGTTATTGAGTATCTTTGCTTACAGGCCATCCTACAGAAACTGCCCAGTCTCTATAGAGACACACCATTAAAACCATTAGACAGCGCCCTCTTCTGGACGGATTCGGCATGAGACTAAACTAACTGTTCAGATGCATTAGAAAACACGGTAAAAGTAAAAAAGAACAACGAGCATAAGAAATGTATATCAGTACAGAGCTAGCAGATACCACACTGGGGCTAGTTGTCACACTTTTGACTCCAATGATTATTTCTCAGGATGAGTTTATTCTTTATATTACCATATATGCATACATATAGACATGATCTAATTTAAGACACTTCATAAGTACGTGATAAAACCAATGATAACAATTGGTACAAACACAAAGCTGCTGATACCTTGAACTTGACATTAATTGATTGGTTTATCTTTATCTTTAGGCAGTCACTATTTCAAAACATCACTAACACTATTTGTCAACAAATACGTGACCAAATGTACTAATACTGTGAAGATCTGGATCTAGTAAATTGATATGTTTTGTATGCGTTTCTGTAAATTATTCATGCAGCTAAATTTCTGCATACGGTGTATTTTAATGTACTGCGTATTTGTATTCAGTACTATTGTTTTCTTATTTATTTATTTACTTACTTGCCTATCTATCTATCTATCTATCTATCTATCTATCTATCTATCTATCTATCTATAATGTTATTGTACGCTGCTTAATATATATATATTGCTTATGAATAGTAATGACGCTTGTATTGACGCTCAAAGAAACTGTCCAATCATCATGGACATCACGTAATTAATATTCATGAGCTCCGCCTCCACGCACTCAAACAAACAAACAGAGAAGCGGTTCTCACGAGCTCACCGCTACACTGTTGTCACTCTCTGTTCAGCTGGTGAGTTATTGATTTGATTTATTAAAACCCATAACAGCTTTTACACACTACCATGTGTGGACACGCTTAGTTTTAGACAGTGAGAGGTCTTGAAACGTTTGTCGTGTCGTCTGAAATGAGCTTCCATGTTATCAGCCGCGCCACACAGGACTCAGTCGTTGTTGTTTGTGTGGATTGTGGTTTTAAAGTTGTATTTCGCTCTCTACAGCTCAACACCGCGTGCTCAGTGTTTGCTCTCCAGAAACAAAGACTTGCGGCGACCGTGAAAGTGAGAGAACTGATACTTTGTTTCCGGAAATAGAATTCACTTTTCCTTTTGTAACAGAACTGAACTCCATTCTTCATTATGTCTATGAATAACGCTGATGTACGTTTACCTCGAAGCTTAACAAAAATTACCATGGTAACCATACAGTAAGTACTACAGTTATTACTGTAAAAAAATACACCCATATATAGACTTTATTCTATTATTTTTATGTAAATTTTATGTTTATCTTTATATCATTATGTATAGGCCTATCTTGGTCACTTAAAATAATTTTATTTGTTTGTTGAAATTTTATTTTGTTTTATTTTATTGACATGTTCCAGTGTGACGGTGTTGCTTAATACCTAGATTTATTGTAGGAGAGTAAATATAATTATTTATTATAACATAACTACCATCCTGTCTGACACAATACTGGGTTTGCAATGAGTTGTACAAGAATTTATTGTCACATAAATCAATATATTATTTATTTTATATCAGTAGGATGTATTAATAAGGCTATGCAGATATTAATACGCTGATTTTTTCTTTTTGTAGTGCACTTGACCGATCACAGTGTTTAATGATTATACTTTGATGACGGATATAAAACTCCACTGAAACATTAATTAAGGCGTCTACCCTGACGAAGGTTCACTGTTAGGACCATCTTGTTTTGTTTTGCAGTGCGTCATGGGAAGGTTTGTACTGCAGGAGGTGTAAAGATACTCCAGGGCGAAATGTGTTAATCCTTTGACTTGCTGCTTGATTTTGTCTTGAGTTTTCAAGTCCTGTTTGTAATGTAGTTTACATTCATGCAGTCTGGAGAAGATTGTGTGGCAGATTCAAGCAGAATTGCTCAAAATGTGCCTCACAGCCCAACAGGAAGTGATGTCAGTTGTACTGTACTTGTGATATGAGATGAACAATATGAGATTGACTCTAGATGAAATTCAACAGGACTGTTTGATGCACGAAGATATTTCATAAATCAGATTTTAATGTTTTTGTATTAGCATATGTAAACAGGTTAATTATCAGGACAAGGGTAAAAATGCTTTAAATGGACCTTGAAATACATTCCAAGCATGTCAGTTTGTTCCCAGAGTACATTTAAAGTGTGTTTGTTACTTTGGCAGATGCAGTATTCATGTGAATTATTTCTCTTAAAGTCAGCTTGAAACGGCATTCGCAACCCATTTTAGCGCTATAATATGATATATATATAAGGTAAGATTAGGCATTTTAGTGTTGGGGCAGGTTTTGTCTTTAAAATAATGTGTAATGGTTAATGGTTCACAGTAAGACCAGGACTATGAATTAAGGAACAGAGTCTGTTTTAACTTCATGTTGACTTGTATTCATGTTATTGTGTAGCTAGTTACCTAGAAGTTTGGTGAATGGGGAACATTTTATACAAAGATAATATAATGTTGCAAAAAGGACCTTGCAACAACGCAAAACCCTATAAAACTGCATGAAACTGCATGCAATAGAATTTCCTGCTGACACACATGAAGGTTGTGCAAGAACAGCGTGTCCTGATGTTTTTTTTTCTTCCTTTATCTTTCATGCAGAAGCACATCAACAATTTACCAGGCAGATAAATGCAGGTCTGAATGTCAAATAGATGAATTATTTTTATTAAAACAGCATTAATTGTGCTGTGCATCTTAGATTTAAAAGGGCTTGGAAATGATTAAATGGAATGATTATTATAGTTCTGCCACATTAAACCTTTAGCCTATATAAGATGACAATTTGTGTTACTGTTCTAACTCAGGCAATCTTTACAGAACGTCCCATAGGAATGAAAAACATTGATTTCGATATTATTCTTAGATATGTGTATATGTGAGAAAATTGTGACATTGAAAATCATTTTATCTACTGTTTTTCTTGAAAGAAATTACATATTGTACAGTCTGTGAGTCAAACTGTTCTCACATTGAAAAGACAAAAGCCTCATTTGTGGTATATGTGAGCTAACATTTTACAAACCTACTATGGTGCTTACTTTAATTTCTCAGTATTTATTTTAAGATTCGTAAAAGGGAATTTAGATTTTTTTTTTCTTCTTGTTCAGTTACCTTGTGTCACTATAATAATCTGTCTATCTATCTATCGTATTGTATAATGTTATTGTGCGCTGATTAATATATATATTGCTTATGAATAGTAATGACGCTTGTATAGACGCTCAAAGAAACTGTCCAATCATCATGGACATCACCTACTTAATATTCATGAGCTCCGCCTCCACGCACCCAAACAAACAAACAGAGAAGCGGTTCTCACGAGCTCACCGCTACACTGTTGTCACTCTCTGTTCAGCTGGTGAGTTATTGATTTGATTTATTAAAACCCATAACAGCTTTTACACACTACCATGTGTGGACACGCTTAGTTTTAGACAGTGAGAGGTCTTGAAACGTTTGTCGTGTCGTCTGAAATGAGCTTCCATGTTATCAGCCGCGCCACACAGGACTCAGTCGTTGTTGTTTGTGTGGATTGTGGTTTTAATGTTGTATTTCGCTCTCTACAGCTCAACACCGCGTGAAATGCTCAGTGTTTGCCCTCCAAAAACAAAGACTTGCGGCGACCGTGAAAGTGAGAGAACTGATACTTTGCTTCCGGAAATAGAATTCACTTTCCCCTTTGTAATAGAACTGAACTCCATTCTTCATTATGTCTATGAATAACGCTGATGTACGTTTACCTCGAGGCTTAACAAAAATTACCATACAGTAAGTACTACAGTTATTACTGTAAAAAACACACCCATATATAGTCTTTATTCTATTATTTTTATGTACATTTTATGTTTATCTTTATATCATTATGTATAGGCCTATCTTGGTCACTTAAAATAATTTTATTTGTTTGTTTGTTTGTTGAAATTGTATTTTGTTTTATTTTATTGACAGTGTTGCCTAATATCTAGATTTATTGTAGGTGAGTAAATATAATTATTTATTATAACATAACTAAGTTACCATCCTGTCTGGCACAATACTGGGTTTGCAATGAGTTGTGCAAGAATTTATTGTCACATAAATCAATATATTATTTATTTTATATCAGTAGGATGTTTTAATAAGGCTATGCAGATATTAATACTCTGTTTTTTGTTTTGTTTTTTGTAGTGCACTTGACTGATCACAGTGTTTAATGATTATACTTTGATGACGGATATAAAACTCCACTGAAACATTAATTAAAGCGTCTACCCTGACAAAGGTTCACTGTTAGGAACATCTTGTTTTGTTTTGCAGTGCGTCAAAATGTGTTAATCCTTTGACTTGCTGCTTGATTTTGTCTTGAGTTTTCAAGTCCTGTTTGTAATGTAGTTTACATTCATGCAGTCTGGAGAAGATTGTGTGGCAGATTCAAGCAGAATTGCTCAAAATGTGCCTCACAGCCCAACAGGAAGTGATGTCAGTTGTACTGTACTTGTGATATGAGGATGTGGTTGTTTAGACCAGTGTTTCCCAACCGGGGTGCCGTCTGTCGAGAGCAGGGGTGCCGTGTAAAAAATCCTTTTTTAATATTTTTAAATTGCTGAAATGTTCAAAAAAGCATCTATTATATAATATCCATTTCTGATGTCGCCAATAATTAGAGATGCACCGAAATTTCGGCTGCCGAAAATTAGTTCAGCGCTCAGGTTTCACTTTCACGTGGTGTGACGCTCTGCGTATTATCCCGCTCTATAACGTGTGCGCTCCGCTCAGTCGCTCCACTCATATACCGTTCATGCGAATCGGAACAGCAAAGTCCACTCAAAAATTGAGCCGACAGGAAACATCGATGTAGTACAGTATTGTTTCTGTCTGCAATAGCCCTACTGTGTTGTAACATGGTGTGGTATATG